GGGGGGGGGGAGAGATGCAAAGGCAAGAGTTTTCTCATATTAGCTAGACTCTCTCCCAATTTAACATGTGAATTAGCCATTATAGATAAAGATTTTGGACAATTATGGCCATAGTTTCACATTCATTCAGACTCACAAAAGGTCTTCTCATTCTCAGTTTATCTGAATCTATTCTGAGTCTTTCTAAATTTCATTTTTAACCATCGGAACAGGAACCAAGCTCATTTTCTGCTGGACTAAATTGTTTCCCTGAGTGATGATAAGGATCTCCTTAATGGCTGCCATTGATTCTTTCCAGTTTTTAGGACAAGCAGAATTTGATTCTTCTTATTCTTCTCCCTTTCCAGCAACTCTGATCAAACACGCCCAAAATGGGTGTCTGTGATAGTATCACTTGTCCATACCCACACAAGAATGTATGTCCAGGATATGATCATTTGTCATTTAAGATAGAGTAGATGATATGAACCATGCCAAACACTATAATAACTAATTTCAAACATTTATTACAACGCATGAGAGACTTGAAAGCTGTCCTGCTCTTTATTTTAATAAATGCTGTCTTGAAGCAGCTGCTTATCAAAGTGACACAAATTGTGTGGTAAATAGAATTCAAAGATATACCCATGTTAGTCTGTAGAATCAGTATGTAGAGAGATCTTGTAGAACTTTTGAGACTAACTGAAAGAAAGAAGTTGGCAGCATGAGTTTTTGTAGACCAGTCTACTTCCTCAGATGCTTTTGGTGAACTGGAAGCCAGGGACAGACATTTATATGCCCTTGGTGTGCAAGAATGTCAATTCAAATTTAAAATCCTTTGTCTATGGAAATGAAATAGCAAGTCCAATTTTAACGCCAGTTGTTCACAGACAAAGACATAGCCATTGGGTATGGACATGAAGTGGCAAGACCAGTTTGGCCTTAGAAACTTGCCTATAGGTGGGGAGAATAGATGAGTGTAGGATGCCCCCATGAAGATGACGTCAGATAGTGTTGAAATGTGTGTTGTGAGCCAGGAAGCCATTGTTCCTGTTCAATCCATTGGTGAGGGACTGTAGTTTATAGATTAATTCCAATTCTGCTGTTTCTCTTTCCAAATTACCTTTGTAGTTCTTTTGTTCAAGGACTGCTGTTCTGAGGTTTGAGATGGAATGCGGAGAGAGATTGAAATGTTCAGCCACTAGTTTTTGTGTATTCCCATTCCTAATGTCTGTTTTAAGTCCATTTATCCTCTGGCACAGGGACTAGACTGTTGTCTGGCGTAGAGTGCTGATGGGCATTGATGACATAGTATGGTGTCAATCACATTGGAAGATGAGCATGTGAAGGCCCCCCTAATGTTGTGGGTGATGCCATTAGGTCTTGTGATGACATTTCCTGGATAAATGTGTGGACAGAATTGGCATCTTAGTTTGCAGCAAGGCTTAGTACCTGTCTCCCCATCTGTGTCATGTGTCTTCCTGTGGGTGAGTACTTTTTTTGAGGTTTGGAGGCTGTCTGTAGGCAAGTAAAGGTCTACTACCAAGAGCCCTTGAAAGAGTGGCATTATTGTCCAGAATGGGTTGTAGTCCATTGATGATGCACCTGAGTGGTTCCAGTTGGGAGCTGTATGTGACCACTATTGGGGTTCTGTTCAATTTGTTCTGTAACAGATTAGTCCTGGGTACACATCTTGCCTTGTTTATTTGTTTTTTACTTCATGTGGTGGGTATTGTAGTTTGAGGAATGCTTGTTGT